TCAACTCTCTGCACGCTCAACTCTCTGCACGCTCAACTCTCTGCACGCTCAACTCTCTGCACGCTCAACTCTCTGCACGCTCAACTCTCTGCACGGCGTTACAAATGTGCCACTAAACCAGCCAATCACAGACTTGGATGCAAAAATTCCGATTGGCTGTTTTGGTCTCCAATCAGCTCGACAGCTACTGCGTTCCAGAAACAGAGTGTAGCCAAACCCCTTTCAGTTAGTATGTTTAATTATGTGTTTTTAAATACGGAGCATTGTTGGTTTTAATCTAGTTTGAACCAAACCGCTCTGCTGGACCTGGCTAGTAGCTGGTTGGAGACCATTATCGTGTGTGGATGACAGCAAACACTGAAACACATTTCTTGCACACAGTGATTATTTTTCTTCTCAAAAATTATTTTTCTTCTCATAAATTATTTTTCTTCTCATAAATTATTTTTCTTCTCATAAATTATTTTTCTTCTCAAAATGCAACATTTGTACTTGTAAAGTTTTTCACGTGCACTCAGACGCACAAAAATAGCAGCATACTCCTCCTGTCGTGCACTTTGGAGGGTCTGCTGGTTGGAGGCACAGGTGGTGCAAACAGAAAGAGGCGTTCCCCTCTTCAGACTGTGTGCACAGGTGTGACCCTGGGTTACACACCTGTGCTCTCACACCTGCGCTCGATGCTCGACCCTGTCAGATATTTGTCTGAATACTGGACGCGGCGCTCTTCGGCTGTGGTGACCCTCGATGTGAAGGCGGGGTTGACTTGAAACATGGCGATGGTCTTGGTGTGAGTTTGAGGTCTGTGGCGACTAGAACTGATAATAACTTATTGATATCATTATTGATTATTGACCATTGTATTGAGTCTCGCTGGGTTCTCATTGGCTCTGATCAGTGTTGTCGTTACTCAGAATAAAAAAGTAATGCAGTATGTTACTTAATTACTCCCAGGAGAAAGTATCTGTTTGAATACTCGTTACTTGGCTGTTACTCTGTAACACACCAACACGGATCCTGAAGAGACTTTAAAGCGGTCGTCATGGTGATTCTGTTAGCAGGTAGACACAGAGGCTGCAGCCTCACCTTTGTTACCTGTTCAGGCTGCTGGGCTCAGGTCTGCATACGCGCTGCTCGTCTCTGGGTTTTCGGCTAGCTTAGCGTTAGCATGCCGTCTGTGCTTGCAGGTCGTGTTCGCGGCCTGGATGGATCTTCCACTTCACTATTACGCTGTCGTCCTTGGTAACGTCTGTATCCACGCTGCACAGCTCTTTTCCTCCAGCACACGAGCTGACGTCAGCTGATTGTAGCAAGAACTGAAAAGCTCAGTAGGCAGGTCGACCAATAACTCCAAGGAACTGGACTACTGGGAACCGGCTCTCGATTCTTGTCCTATAGTGATGACATCAAAGTCAGAGTAACCTTTGATGTCATCTCTGCTGTAAACAGTTCAGTATATAGAGAGAGAGATGACGAGGCTGCAGTTACAACAGTGCAAAAGAACAACAACAAATACAGGAGGAGTAAGAATAAATATACACTTTGAGTTAAAAAGGTTAATAAATGTAAAGTTTACAATTTATAAAATGAGATTTAAAGTGACTTTGAAGTGGTTTAAAATAACCAACGTAGCAGTTTTACAGTTTACAGTATAAATGATTTAAAGTGACCAACATGAGCAGGATTGTCCACAGAGCAGCATCAAGTCCAGTAGAGTCAGTCACTGGTTTGTGTGGGTGTGTGGTGGGGGGAGTGGGGGAGCAGTGAGGTCAGGAGTCTGATGGTTTGTGGGAAAAAGCTGTCTCGCAGTCTGGAGTCCGTGTGAGGGGTGTGCACCGAGCGCACGTGTCAGAGAGGCCATCCAAAGGTCCCGAGGTGCACACGGACATTTTTTATGGGCGGAGCCGCCTGCTCACACACTCATGGCGCCGTATTGTCTCTCTGTCAGTTCGGTGGCCGAGCAGCTGAAGCGTGGAGAGACGGTTCAGGCTGAAGCCTTCGACTCGGTCACCATCTACTTCAGCGACATCGTGGGCTTCACCACCATCTCCGCCGAGAGCACGCCGATGGAGGTGAGTTTACCTGAGTACTCACACAGCTTCCAGGTCCAAAGACACAAACACAGAAAGCCAGGCGGAGAGTAGCCCCGGATACCTGATCCTCCCAAATCCGAGCTTGGACTCTGCAATCGGCTCTGCGTCCTGTCACGCCGTCAGGGCGACTGCGCCGCAGTCCGACCCGCAGCGCAGTGCAGGTGTCTCATCAGACACGCTGGTGTTTCTGCTGCAGGTTCAGACGCTGCATGCTTGCCACCATGTTAGCACGCGGGCTGAGGGCGGCTGGCGAGATCCATATTTCAGAATCATATGCACAGCGTGTTAGTGGAGAACGATGAGGTCGAGGGGACGAAAGTCCAGAGGAAACATTCTTGAGAGTAAATAAAATGAGAAACTTTATCGATACTTCCTCCCACGTGCAGGTAGCGGCGTCAGGTTCATTGGTCGTTGTAAATTGTCCATAGGTGTGGATGGTTGTCTGTGTGTTAGCCCTGCCACAGACTGGCGACCTGTGCAGGGCGTGCCCCGCCTCTCGCCCTAAGACACCTGGGAGCGGCTCCAGCCCACTGCGACCCTGACAAGCAGAGAACAGGTGGATAAAAGGTGGAAATAGATTCTCATATTTGTACTGCAGGGATCAGTAACTCAGCAGCACGATTAACGATGTCCCAGCAGCTGGTGTCCAGACGCGGCGTCCTGCATACATTTACAGATTTAATCTAGAAAATTCTGCCTCACTCGTCCTTTTAAGGGTTTTTGGATGGCGACTAAGAGAATGAAATTACAATCTGATTATATTTACCTACAAACACACTGGAATAAGGAGGAAAGCAGTCAGAAATAATGATGCTGGAAGTGTAAGTAACGTGTAGGTCTGAGGCTTCATGCAGATCCTGGCAGTCAGTGTTCCTGTGAGCGCTGCTGGGTAAATATAATCACACATCAAATAAAACACTGATGATAAAGTGTTGACATGTTCTCTCACACACGGCCTGCAGGGGGCGCTCAAACGGCGTCCTTCAGTCTGACGTGCTGATGTCTCTGCAGGTGGTGACTCTGCTCAACGACCTCTACACCTGCTTCGACGCCATCATCGACAACTTTGACGTTTACAAGGTAAACGCGCGTTTCTTTCCTCCGACCTGTTCCTGGGTCAACTCTGAGCAACAGGGCGCATCGCCATGGAGACCAACTCACAATAAGGACGACGTTTAGTGCGACTCTAACTGATGTCACGGTGCTGTGG